TGCCACTCTGGCTTCTTTAGGACATTACTGTCTTCAACATTAATGTACTGAGATGTTAACAGCTGTCCTAGATGGTCCTGAGCATGAGACAGATCTCTGTCAGAAACAGCAAGGAGCTGCACCCTGTTTCCACTGATTTCAAACGCTGCGTTTATTTGATGAGACGTGAGGAGAGCTTCTGTAAGCTCCTCTTGTTGCTCATCCTTCAACAGTTCAAGCACATATTTATCTATTTCCAGATTCTGTCGTTTTAATGCAAGTACTGCATCTAATATAACATTGATTGCTGCATTAATCTCTTCCCCTAAACCAGTTATTTTCAGATTAGGACTCTCTGGTGACAACTTGAGCTCTGGATACACAAGTAGAAGGTTGTCCAAAAGCCCATTTTGATGCAGGAGATGGAAAACTGATGGGGACACTTCGATCTCTACAGTTTTACTTGATTTCTCCCGGTGGATTTTGTTAATAATTTCAGAAAGAGATTTCTCCAGTCTGTTGACATCACTAACATGACCAGCCACTGATAAAGCACCACTGTCTTTATCAGGTACTACAATCACATTTTCATTCAGTAACATCTCTCTGATCTTTTCCTCAGACTCTTTCCATGCATCTGAATCTGGACAGAACTTCACAGATTTGAACTGTGACACAGATTGTTCAAACGCTGATATCACAGTATCAGTCCATTCTTTGATGATGGCTTTGGCATCCTTTTGCTTTAGTAAAGAAGATACAGGACTCAAAGTCACAGTAGTTTGGCCGAGGTTCACGATGCAGAAATGTTTTTCCATTTCACTGCAAATGGCCTCTGCTGCTGATGTATTTTGAGCTAGGTATCTGAGGACAGCACTGTCAATGGGCTCTGAGATGGCAGCGGGAAGTTTTATTGACGCCTTGCCCTTTAATGACCTTCTTAAACTTTTTAAAACAGACAACCGATTAACTCTGGCCTCGTCATTCTTTATGGAATTCTTCGTCTTTATGTTTTTAACAGCTGTAATGAAAAAAAATACAAACATGTAAAACAATTTAGATATGTAAGACCTTTTTTTCTATTTACCCAGCTCAACAGCATGCATCAGCTATCACTAACAATTGCAATGCCAGGCCACAATTTCTGTGAAAGGATGACAACATATTCTAACCTGATAAAACAGAGGGGTAGACAAATGAATAGAACTGACAAATTCATATTTTAGACAAAAACTCGTATTTGAGTTGAGGAGTGATTCCTCGATTCAAAATTACAGCAGGAAAATATTTCATGTACCCAGACATGCTTAATCAGAGAAAAAACACCTTAAATAACAGTTAGAGATTTGTAGAAGTTTTTGACAAACACATGGTTGTAAAAAATATTATGGAGAAACTAAATACCTTCATTACATATATAGCATGCATGGCATAAGATTGAGGTGTTGTTTTTATTCAGTACTTACATTTCGTGTTGTCTTTATCCAATGGGAATTCCTGTGTGGAACAAATAAAAATATAAATGTATTCACCATTTTTACTATACTGAAATCTTGTGTGACCAGACTATAAATGTTGCTGTTGGTCTTTAAAGAAATATAATGGAAAAAATATTTAATTATACTTAATTTGTGTAAAGCAAAACAAAACAAAAGACACACAGTAATGTTTTTTTTGTTTACTTTTTTTTTTTTGTAATATTCCTACAGCAGAAAGAGAGAACAGCTTTGAGTTCACGGTAAGTCACGTGACCTCTAGAACCGGATAAACAGCTCAAAACCGAGACACAGATCGTTGTTTAATATAAACTAATCCTAAATTTGAAGTCTGGGGAGGAGGTTCAACAACTTCCACCCCCACAAATAGTGTAACATTACTATATTTTACTTTAGCATATTTATATTGACAAGGGCATACAAAACTATTCTTGAACATTTTTGGTATGCAAACCTCCCTTGACTACACCGGCCTATCATAAATAATACCTGTGAGGATTTCGCTTCA